AGATGTTCTATAAATTGTAATTATTAATAGCATATTAAATGTAACACGAAATCATACATGACTACTAATTCCAATAATGGAAGCAGATAGCTCTTCGTGTCATGAGAGTGTCTCATTATTTGATATGTGCAGACTGGGTCATTCTTTCCACACCCGTGGTGATTCTCTCATGATAGGCAGTGGCCTGTAGAGGAACCAGGAGGTGCAGGGCCCTTGGGCAGGAAAGGAGGCGTGTTCAGGAAAAGGCTATGTCTCATGTTCCCACACTTTAGACTAAATAATAGGCGGCTACCCCAAAGAAGTCTCTGTAGGGGGTGCCTGACAGTTATCTAATTCTCCCAGTCCTGGTCACTGTGACCTATTTTCAAGGACATTATCTGCTCTCAGGAACTCGATAAAAGAGCTACCTTTGCCTGTTCTGTACACAGTCTATTTCTGACTCATATTGTCCCTTAGTTAGATGTTTTGGTTCAAAGGATTCCTGAGACGCCTGCCTATTAAAGCAGAACTTGAAATTTCCCAAATGCTCCATGCTGTTTGCCGTCCTTAGGGCTTTGTTTGTGCCAGGCCCCCGATCGTCCACAGGCCTCTTCTCTGCTCATGCACCTGGCTGGAGAGCTGACTCAGCCCTGCCATCCTCCCAAGCCCAGATCCAGGTTGCTTCCTCTTGTCCCCAGGTTGAGTTGACTGTGTTGTCCTCTCGGGTGTCCACTGTACCTTGATAGCTTCGCAGCACTGGACGGCACTTTACACTCCGTGTTGTAGTCCCTGCTTCCCCAGCTGGGGCAGGAAAGGGATGTTTATTGTGGCTCTTTTCCGGTGCCCACACCATGTCTGCCCCGTAACCGTAGAGTGGGGACGGCGGCTGAGGCCTGCTCTGGAGAGGAGTGTGGTTGAATCCTCACTGGCTTCTCACTTCAGATGACAGGAAAGAGGACACAGCAAGTGAGGCAGATAATCCTACAGGGTGGCACCAGCCAAATCAGTTTGAGGGCATTTTGACTGGCATTTGAGTATTTTTAGCTGTCTTCCTTTATGCTGTGAGGCAAGCATTTTCATTCCCTGGACGCACACTTGTGGGTAGGAGCCACAGAGGTATCCTCAGGAGCCAACAGAAACCGACCTGGGATTAGCATTTTACTGTGGGTAATCCATGGGTAGGTCACAGAGAGTTTACTGTCATTGTGATATCTGCGTTTTCTGGTGTAGACATCATCCCTTGGGAACGGCAGCTCAGAGGAAGGGGGAAATCTCAGGCAAATTAAATTAAATGCACATTGTCTTACATTGTACTGGTGTGGTTTTCCTTAGCCCTACTTCCCCTGTGTGTTCTTAACTTGAAATTTCTTAAAGCTTTCCTTATTGTGGAAAATGTGGGTGCATAAAATCTCTCTGAACATCTTAACTCTTTTTTTTTTTTTTTTGGCCTATAGTAAAGATATTCTTGCCACCAGTTTTTAATTCATTTTGTAATTTTTTCCACTTGCCGATTTTTTTTTTTTCTAGAAACAAGATACTGGTCAGGTGCTACTGGATATGGCATACAACCACCTGGATGTGACAGAAAAGGAATATTTTGGTTTACAACACAATGATGACTCCATGGATTCCCCTGTAAGTGCCGCTCCTTTCAGGTGTGTGGGACGCCCACAGAGTTTGGTTTTATATCTTATGTTTTCTTACCCAACAGAGATGGCTTGAATCAAGCAAACCCATCAGAAAGCAGTTAAAAGGTTGGTGTGATCTTTTCATTTCTGTTGAACATTAGATGTTAGTGTATTACCACCTGTTTATCTCCCCCGGGCATCAGTGCCTGCAGCGTCTGCTACCTGAGGGCCTCCCAGAGTCAAGAGTGAACTTCTCCCTGACTTCTGAGTTAGCAGAGAAGCTTCCAGATCAACCCTGGAGGATCCTCCCCAACTATGGGCAAGAAAAGGAAAGGTGAGAGTAGGCAGCTCAGAGAGACAGAACCCACGTTTCTTTTTACAAGGAAGGAAGGGAGGAAAAATGGCTTTTCTCAGCCTGCTGGGAGAGTCAGGATAGGAAAGAGAGAGACAGACACAAATCTTCATACTTCCCAAGAGCACAGTTGCATTCTCTGGAAACTTAGCCATAGGTAGATAATGTCACAAATATAAAAAGTTAAGCCTTCTCAACTGCAGCTTGCCCATCAGGGGCGGACCCCAGTGCTGCGGGTTAACCCCAGTTAGGTGGCTATTCAAGCCACACCTTGCCCACCCACTGTCCCGATCTGCTCTCAGCCTGGTTTCCAGTATCGCCGTCATTGTTGCCCTTTCTGCACCTCATGCCCCAGATGAGCCCCGTGGATCTGCAGGGCCTCCTCTGCACCTCCTCCGTCCGTCCCTCTCCTGGGAATGCTTTTCCCTCCACTTCCCCATATCTGAATCTTGCCATTCTTCAAGGCTGCCCAGATCCCACCTCCTCTCCTTCTAGAACAGTGGTTCTCAATCTTCCTAATGCCGCGGCCCTTTAATAAAGTTCCTGTGGGTCACGACCCACAGGTTGAGAACCACTGTTCTAGAAGCTGTGACTCTCTTGTCCCTTACTTTCATCATCATCTGATTGGCGGCTCACAACACTCTCACCCTCATCTCTTAGGTATTAGCCTTTAGCTTAGAACTGCAAGTCCCTGAGGTTAGGGACCCTTGTTACGTTCTCTCTGTGTCTCTCACAGGGCCTGACACAGAGGAGGTGGCTAGTGAATGGTAGAGGGATGCAGGGCAGGTGGATACGAACACAGGAGTGTGCGTACGCATGATGCCACACACCTGCCCAGCACCCAGGAGGAAGGAGTCGACGCAGCTAGCCATGTCTCTGGTCCACAGCTGCACCCAGGGGGAACCAGGTCCTCAGAGTTCTTACCTTCCCAGACAAATACCTGCTCCATCTGAAGTCATAGGAATGAGTGCACACAAGGCATGGGGAGGTGTTGTCATTCATTTTCTCACTGACACATTACTTTGGCGAATGCGTCCTGGACACTCACTGTGACAAGGCACTGAGCTAAGCCCTGGGTATCCAGTTCAGGTCAGATTTGGAGCCTGCCCTGAAGGACCTCACAGCCAAGAGGCAGAGACCGTACTTTGATAGTACTAAACACATGCTAGGATGCACAGGACCACATGACAGGTGAAGAGGCCGTGCATGTGACACCAAAATGACAAGTTATAGAAGAGGAGAGAAGGGGATGTGGCAGGGCATCCCAGGGCATCCCAAAGTGGGAGGACTTTGCTATCCCCTGCTGTGCAGGTGGTCAGCAGGTATGCAGAGTTATAGCACCACCCACTGGTGCCAGGCACATGGGCAGAGGTGTACACAGGTGCACACTCCCCTCCCATTAGATATTGTTTGAACACAAGCCAGAGACAAAAGAGTAGATATAAAAGAGGTAGAAGGGCAGAGCCCAGGATGAACAAGGTGAAGGAGGAGATGGCAGGACTGTAAGGGGAGCAGGCTGGAGAAGGGCTTGACCTTCAGAGAGCAAGAAAGTGCAGAATGCATGGATAGAGCTGGCAGATATTTACTGGGGGAGCATAAAATCGCCATGAAGAAGAACTTGGGATCTTAGCAACACAGTCTGATCTGCTGCTCCCATGTCTGCTGAAAGAAATGGACCGATTTTATCCACACAAGCAAATTCATTCTTGGTGTTAATGCATAATTTTTGAGTGTGTTCTTTACATAATCTTCACTAGTCTATTAATCATTTAACATGCTCTCCCTTAAAAGCTTAAACTATTTTCTAGTAGAAAAATGATTTTGAAATGTGATATAATAGCGCCAACAATATCAGAGCTATAATTCTGGTTTGGTCACTAGCTGGGTACAAATTGCAGTGATAACCTGTTGGCTTATCTGTACAACTGGGCTGTCCATGGCAGCCTGGCCTTCTCATAGTCAAGGTAGTGTTTAAATGAAAGAATATACATGCAGATGTTTGAAATGTATGAATCACTGTACCAGCGTAAGCCATTATTTCCTTGTGAATTTTGTATAATATACTGATTAAAGGTTTTCTAAAATTGATGCAAACAGCGGAGTGCATTGTTAGGACACAGCCCTAAGGGAGACATGTGTTAGGGAATAGACTGTGTTTTAGTCTGTGTCAATATTGTGTAAATATTTCACCTTTGGGAGACGTGAATATTTCTGAAACAACCAATGAATGTACGCACTCCTTGTTTGAAATTAGCCCTTTTAGAATGGAAAAGGGCTGTGGCTGAGTGGAAATGCATCACTTACGGGAAGAGTAGCAAACCTTGACTTTTGTAAAGGGAAAATTTAATTTGTTTTTGAAAAATGTTGTAGGAGGTTTCCCCTGTACCCTGCATTTTCGAGTAAGATTTTTTATACCTGATCCCAACACACTGCAGCAAGAACAAACCAGGTAATAATGTTTTTATTTTAAGTTTTCTATTTAGTATATAAAAATAAGTAATCACTAAAAATGTACTCTTCATTTGCTAACTGTGGCCAGATAACTTCATGTGGGTATAACTGCACCAGTAACTGTGATCCAAGTAAAAATTTGGGGGTGCACATATTGGCATTTTGATTGGCTAAGTAGTTTTCAGTCTTGGACCCTCTTCTCTCCCTTCCTAATCTGGTGCTGTTCCCAGCACACTCACACCCGCCCCCTGCTGCTCCCGGTTCCTCCCACCTCTTCCTTCACCTGGCCTCTCCTACCTGCCGAGAACCTGCACAAAGGACAAAAAGTCATTTTCTACTCATTTAGGCTGGGTTTAGATGACAAATTTGTAAAACAGTCAACCAGAGGTCAAATGGTATGATAGGACTGAAGGGTTAGCCATCAGGCCCTTGAAGATAGGAAGACATCTCTATAACAAGAATGTTCTACCAGATCCCTAGTCTGTGGAGCTAGAAAGGCGAGCAGGCTGGACCCAGCTTGTCTCCTGGGTGAATCAGCAGGTGCAGGAAATACATGAGCCAGATAAGGGAGAGGGGCTGTGATAAGAGTTGTTTACCCTTCAGGGCTTGGAGTCTGGCCTGGTCCTGGGTTGGTGCTGGCACCTGGTTTTTCTGGGTGGGGAACAGAGTATCTGGAATGGAGGAGGAGAGGTGCACAGAAAAGTTATTGCTGTTTGAACGCTGACTGTGCAGACTCAACTTTCCCTCCCCCGTGGCAGTGTCAAGCCTGTTTATTGTCAAGCCGTTTATTTTTCTTCGAGAGGGAAACATTTCCCCAATGGGTGTTCAGAATTCATGAACCCTCTTGCCATCGCCAAGGAGGCAACATGAAGTCAGAGAGTGCCGCCTTGTTTTCTTCTTTTTTTAAAATGGTAATTACATGATGACATTTTTTCACTTTTAATATGTTTCGAGGCCAAATATTAGTCTATTACTCTGGTTTGCCTTGTTTATGTACCCCTACAATAGCAGACATTGGGGATTTGACGGTGTTTACTGTGATGTTAAATTTTAAGCCGGGTGAGAGATATCCAGTGTGACTCATGTGGTGACCACAAGGAAACACACCCTGGGCTTTGAGAATTCCCCCGCCACCCCGCAGGTGCTCTTTCCACTGGTAAACCGGGGTAGTATGGGAACCTCAGCCCAGGAGGTTTTCATCACCTGATAGACACAAAGTCAGTGACAGAGTCTTTAAAAATGTGTTTGAAATGACCCTACCAGGGTTTCCTCTGGCCATTACTAAATAACAAGTTCTGTTCAGGGGTGCTTTAAGAATGACATGAAGGATATGTGTGTGCTTGTGTATACATGTACGAGCGTCTATGTTATACATTATATTACATGTGTAATTACACACGGATATACTTGTGTACAGCTCTGTGCGTGGTTCTGACCATTGGGGTTTTTTCCTCAGTCACAACCCCACAGTGAAACTGTATTTGGTTTCATCATGCGGTACACGTACGTAAATTACTGAAGCGAAAGTTTTATAAAAGTATAAAGCACTCTGAAGTTTTTTTATTCTCTTCTATTTCCTTTACTAAAAAATGCCAGTTTTGACCCATTCTATGGATTTTATGATCAACTCGTGGGTTTCAACTCCAAGTATGGAGGTCACTGCCTAAACTAGTGACTGTCACCCATCACCCGTCTTCTCCCCAGGCTTGGGGCACCCAGTGACAGAATCTGTGGGAAGGGATTACTAGGGCAGGCCTAACCCCAGAGTTGCTTCCCAGTGCCCCTCTTGGCCACTTGGCCGTCCACTTCTACACCCTATGGGGAAGAAACTCCCTCTGGGAGCTGCCAAAATCCTTCTGCTGAGCCTTTTGATCATTTGAGGGATATTGGGGAAAATATAGGGTGTGTAGGGTGGAGAGAAGACTCCAAGAGAAATGAAGGCTACCTTCAGAGCTCTAAGCCGTACTCACGGGGAAAGGAGAACTGGGTGTGCTGGCTCATAGCATCATGGCCAGTGGGTGGAAGTTACCGGAAGGCGGCTTTTAGCTCAAGATGAGTAATAGACTAATCTTTGTTCTTACCAGAGTCCCAGATAAAATGCAGTTTGTCTGTGTCTGTCCTAAAATTCACTGGTTCAGCACTGACAACCCCCTACCCCAACCTCCCATCTTAAGATGGGTGGTATCCCAAGTGTGGAGTCTGATATAGCTGTCACCCTCTGGGATTTGGGCACCAGCTTTCTTCACAGACCATCCCATGACTTCTAGAAAGCTGGTGGAATACCAGGACCTCCAGATCTTTTTTTTTTTTTTTTTGAGAGACAGGGCCACACTATGTCACCTTGGCTGGCCTTAAACTCACAGGCTCAAACAATCCTCCTGCCTCACCCTCCTGAGGATCTCAGACTGTCCACTCATGCCATCATGCCCACCTGCCAGATCTTTGTCTTACCTCTGGCTGCTAAATACACTTGTTTGTTTGTTTTCCAATTTAAATGCAGGATTTACATGTGTTATTGGTACATGTTAACTTACAAAAGCCCAGATTTGTAGCCTTTCCAAAAATGAATTACTTTTTAAGGATATTTTACTGTCAAGAATCAAGGAAGGCAAATAGAGGTGGTATTTGTTAATTATTATTTTTTAGGGATCTAGGCAGGGACGTTTGTTCTTTCTGAAGTTGAGGTCATGAATAGGGTACACTCTAAGAGAAATTGTTGCATTTCTGAAGTTAACATGCAAACAGCTCTTCTAAATAACTTTAATTGTTAAATAAATGTCCTTATTATGAGCCCCCACAAGTAGCATTTCTGATAGATTTAGGTCATTCTAAATAGAATTTTATTTACTAAAATTAGAATTAGATTCCTCCAAGAATTCTAGAAAGTCTCCTAAGATTGGGTTGCATTTCACCACTCCGACTTGTGTATGATGTCGTGGGATTGACTCAGAAACTTTGCTCAGTTTATGACAAGGTAGCATTTGGTGAATGGTGACCTCCAGGTTCCCGTTCCCGTTTTTATTCCTAGGAAGATACGCTGATTAGCTGAGCTTGCCAGTGAAAGCCCCAATTCACCATTGGATTATCTGTAACTCTATCCCTTCTCTCCTCTCTCTCCATCGCATTGTAGGAGGAGAGAACACTTAATTCTGGTTGAATGTCAACTTGGATAAACATAGAAACAAACTAGAAAGGACCGATTATGTTCTGCTAGGTAGAAAAGATCGAGATTCCAATACCACATAGGCATGAATCAGCAAATGTATGTTGTATCTTCTCTCAGTGCTGGGTTTTAGGTACATTGTGAGTAGCTGGTGACACAGATCCTAAAGCTTTTTAAATCATTAAGCATAGAAGAAATTTGCAGCATAATGAGATGTTTTTAGTACTGTGGTTATCCAAGTTAAAATAAGATACATCTGACCCTTCCTCTCCTGTCTGAACTTTGATTTTCTCATCTGTTAAAATTGGAGAGACTGGGTACCTACCCCACAGAGGTAAGGTGAGGAAATGAGGGGGCATGTTTTAAAGTCCCATGCACACAGCCCAGAACTATGCAAAAAGGAGGTTATATTACTGCCTGAAGCATTCACATCTCAACAACCCAGTCCCTTGACCTTCATCAAACCAGAAGAATAATGAGACTGATGGGTTTAACTTTCCGAACTTGTCTCTCCTTCCTCGGAGCACCTCTGCCCCGTCTGTATTAGATTTCAAGGTTTCCCATTTGTCATCTTGGCCACACTCTGGAATGACTATCCCATTTGAATCCAGGTTTTAAAAAAGAGCGGGTGCTAGCGGCCAAATGTCACATGTGTGCCCTGTCCCTAAATAGACGTCTCCCGAGGGCATTCCTGGCCTGTACAGCGCTGCCGGCAGCTTCCTCGCCCCACTCCCCAGGTGGAGGAGCAGACTCCCAGGCTGAGGGGCCTGCCACAGCTTGCCCAAAAATACAGATCCCGGGGTTTTGAGTTTGATTTGCTGGTCTCTCCCCGATGAGTACAGAATTTTCTCTCGGAGTCCCTGGCAACTTCTGATGTTTGTGCTTTTGCTCACTCACCCGCAGTTCCTGGGACACAGGAAGAATCCCAGCTGGGTGTTTGCACCCCAGCCAGGGAGGTGTCTTCACAGACCCTCCTTCCGTTAGCAGTTTCTCGCTGGGGGGACGTGGGTGTGCACAAGCTGGCACAGTGTTCAGAACAGTGCCCCGTTGGTGTGGGGGCTGTGTGTGGAGTGTGCCTGTGCTCTGTTAGCAAGGCCCAGCTGAGGGCAGGGGCTTCACTGTTGGTGGTGCCAGTAAGACCAGCCCATCCTCCCCTGCTCAGCCCTCCTTGTGCCGGTGGGACATTGCCCCTGCCAGGCAAGACTTAGGGCACCAACTCGAGTCACCTTACTCACAGGGCAACTTTATAATGTGCAAAATTATATAGCACCAGATACCCTGGACAAAAATGTATCTTTGTGTACTTTGGTTTTCACACATACAGGTCTTATCCTTAACTCATCAAACTTTTTTCTGTTTTGTTTTTTGCTTATTTCAGTTTGAGTATGCATTAATGAAAACAATTGTTTCATAGGCATTTGTATTTCTTACAACTGAAGATGGATATTTGTGAAGGAAGGTAATTAGAATTTTGTATTCTTCTTTTCCTGTCAGACCAGCAACATTTCTGGTTTTAATCTAATGAGCATGCATTTCTGGGCACAGTATTAAATCTAAACCAAGAGTTGATGTTGAAAGCAGCATCCTGTACGACATTAGGCTTTGGGCATCTGTTTTTAACTCAAGTCTCGGTTTTGAGAGGCTGAGAATTGATAAACGTCATTTCATGTTATTTCAGTTTTATTGCAAAAGATGCATTTATCTTTCTGGTAAAGACCTGAGAAATTCGAAAGGATTTAGAAAGGGACCCAGAATGTAAAGTGGACATTTTTCAGGAAGGCAGATCAGGCCTAATTCGGATCCACTTCCAAGCCCCTTAGTATCTACGGGTGATTCATTGTCTCTCGGGGACACTTTTAGCTCAAAGGCATGAGCATTGCCTGTAACTCAGTACTTCTTGCAGGTATAGAGACCACGTCAGTGGCTAGAAGATGTTAGTTTAGGAAGAGAGAAGAAATTCCAAGCCAGTGGTCCCTGAGCTGTCTCCTCCAAACTCTTAGTATTTACTTATTAAAGAAATCACAGCAGGTAAAGTGGTAGAGACAGCCACATCGTACTCCCAGTCTTCTCACCGCCTCTTTTCCTCCTGTGAATTTAGTTCTCTTAAGAGTTTTCGGCTCGGTTTCTGTGGCTCAAGTGACTAAGGCGCCAGCCACATACACTTAAGGTGGCGGGTTCAAATACAGCCCAGCCTGCCAAACAACAATGACGGCTGCAATCAAAAAATAGGCATTGTGGCGGGTACCTGTGGTCCCAGCTACTTGGGAGGCTGAGGCAGGAGACTCGCTTGAGCCCAGGAGTTGGAGGTTGCTGTGAGCTGTGATGCCATGGAACTCCACCCAGGGTGACAGCTTGAGGCTCTGTCTCAAAAAAAAAAAAAAAAGTTTTCAGAGGTTGCCAGCATGCTGTTCCCTGAGGGAGCTTTTGCAATCTGGTTGGGTAAATGAGACAGGAGCCCAAGAAGCAATTAGGAAATAGTTAGTACCAATATGGGCAGTGAAGACCACAGTCATCGTAAGATTTTAGGATCTCCTTCTGCTGATGTGGGCTAGAAAACGTCTTTGTAGATTGCTAGGCTGAGCCAGATTTGGGGTTTGTAGAGAAGTGAGGAGTTGGATTTCCCTGGCAGTGAGAAGACACCCCCTCAGCCCACAGTCCCAGCTGGGAACCACATGCTGAGAGCTTACAGCAGACGAGGAGGAGAGAGGGCTTTTCGTGTCAGACGTAGGCGTGCGTCTTCCATCCAGCAGGCAGAGGAGAGCTATTGAAGGGTTTCCAGCAGAAAGGATACGGGTGTGGCAAGAGCTGTGTCTGCAAAGACTGTCAGTGTACACAGCGAAGAGCGGAAAGGGCCCAGGATACTCGGTCTGTGGAAGGGAACGGAGAGCACTCAAGGTGGCTTTGCAGACATCCTAACCAGGGATTAGGAGCAGGGGAGATGGACAGGTAGAAACCAGAGACATCTTGAAGAAAGGATAGCTACACCTGTTGACTGTTGAGCAGTCGTAGAATTACAGAATTCTCGTCATTTGGCTCATCCCCCCACTCAGGGCAGGGACAAGTCACTTCTCTAGCACAACCTGTTGAGTCTCTGCTTGATCACCCCCGGTGATGGGGAGCTCACCCTTTTAGGAGTAGCCTTTTCACATTTTGGGGTAACTCAAGGTTGAAATTCCCCACCCCTCTTCTGGGCCAGGGTGTCCTCAGCAGCAGTGGAAACTTACTCTGGTCTTCTCTTCTCTAGACGTACTTTTCTTTTTTCCCACAAATAATTGGCAAACACCTCTCCTAAGACAGGCGCTGGACTACGCTGGTGACATAAGGCAGAGCACAGCCTCCTCAGGAGCTTCCAGTGTAACTGAAAATACTGGAGTTAGTCGTCTTCATTTTTGCCTTCTCCAAGCAAAATGCTCCTTGTTACTTCTACGTGAGTCAGTACAGATCTGAGGAGGGCCCCATCCTGGCCTATTTCCTGACATTCCTCGCCAGGGCCTCCCCACCTCTCTGAGGAGAGGGTCTTCACTACCAAACACCTCTCAGGTGTGTGTCAGGCTATTGTGGCCGTGGATCTTTTTCCAGGCTCACTGCCAGGCTACTCAGCATCTCTTCTGGGTGTCGAGTCATCCCCTAACTTTTTGGAACCATTGTTGGTGGCCAGTGCTCGGCGTCATCTCCCGCCCACAAAGACAGGTGATCTAGTCCCAGCCCCTTCACCCAGCAGATAAAGACCCTGAAACCCAGAGCAGAAGAAAAGGCTCTATCTCAGGATGAGTGGCCAAGTTAAGAATAGGACGCAGGGGCTCGGCACCTATAGCTCAACCGGCTAGGGCGCCAGCCACGTACACCTAAGGTGGCGGGTTCGAATCCCCAGCCCGGACC